CAACAGATCGAACGGAGAAGAACCACGCTCACATAGAATACCAGAGCGAAATATCCGCTTGATACCGTGTTTTGTACAACGAAAGACGAGTAACGAAGATCCTTTTTATCTGTAACGAGGAATTCCATTCACCATTCCGCCGTCAAACACGTCAACGTAACTGCAATTTGATTCTTAATCGAGGGGTATAGTGGCTTCCTCTATTTTCTGTGATGTTGGTGCTGTTAGCCAGTTGGCTTTTACAGCTTCACCAGACTAATCCGTTACTGGCGAGGTAAGAAAACCTATAATCCCATTATATCCTGTGGGTGTCGGTAATGGGTGGCTATAAGAAACTCAAGAAAATTCTTATGGCTTTCGACAGATAGCTGTATAGCATCTTGTTTAAGCTAGACGGAAAAATCAAGGCAAGTGATAGGCGGCAACGCCAAATGTATCGAAGCGCAAAAGGTCTATATTAATTTTTACGGACCGTTCATGATAATAATGACGTAGGATTACAGTGTCTACTACTTTTTGGTTTGATTTTTAAGTTTTATTTTTTGGTTGTTATTTCTTTTGATAATATTAAAAAAATTATATCGTAGACAAATATTTACTTTGGCTGGAATTCCAACACAGAACCAACGTTTCAATTACCTTAGCCTTCATAATCTTTGCGAAATAGTTCTTCTAATAACTACAAATGAAGCAAGAAAAAACACGCACAAAATAAATCAATCGATTCTCTGCTGAGATTGTAAATTGAGAAGATTTATGTTTACAATCTTACAACAACTATGTTTTCGTAAATTCATGAGCAGAAAAATTTGGCAGAGCTAGACCGTTCTCGTTCATTCTGTTTTAGTAATTTATTATCTGTATTGACGGTAAGATTATACGACTTATTTATCGATTGTAAATATTGGGATATTTTTCTGATGAAAATATTATGGCTTTCGTCAGATGGCAGTATAACCATCTCGCCTTAAACTCGTCGTAAAATACCCAAACGGGGAGCAGCGCCAAAAGTGCGCGACGTATGGTAATACAATGACTCATCCGTCAGCTAAACCTGGAGATAATGGTAAGAATTGTACTAGTATCAGAGTCCCTGCTAAAGCAGTAGACTGATAAGGAATTCTTTATTGTTATCTAACCTTACTTAATTTATAATATCCGTTATATATTTAAAATATATAACGGATAATAAATATTTAAAATTGCTTTCTACGATACACGAGTTTCCAATATTTTAATATCAATAACAAGTACCAATAACAATCAACATTATATTGACAAGGTTACCAGCAAAAGTTATTGTTCGAAAGTATTTCAACTAGTTGCAGTGCAACAACACATTTTTGCTTCATAGGAATTTCATAACTATTATACCATCACAATCACTGTAACGCATCATAAGTTCACTGCTGAACATAGGCCTCCCCCATAGATTGTCACAAAGTACGGTCCTGAATAAGGATTGCAAACCGGGTTATCCGAAAACCGAAAAACCGGTTTTTCAGCATATTTGTTTTTTTTTAAAAACCCGGTTATTTTTTGTCACGTTTCCGGTTTTTCGGGTTTTTTATTATTTACATGAACATAAATGTGCATTCGTGTGACTTAAATGTACGATGCTGAAGCAGAAAATGCTAATCTATCTAACTCTGATAGAGATGATGAAGAAAACGGTGTATCAGTTGAGACAAAAAATTGACAAAGATCTAGTTCCAATAATTCTTATCAATACTACAAAGACTTGATTCAAAAAGTTAGAGGGTTTGTGAAAATTTTTAGAAAATCTGCCACAAAAAATTATGACATGCAACAAATGTATGTAAAAGAGAAGTTTGGCCATGAAATATGTGTGATTTTGATATGGTTGATAGAAGCGGGAGTTCTTTAACAAAGGCATACAGAGCTCTCAGAACGGTCAAGCCCTCAAGTGTCGAATCAGGACGTGCATATTCGACAGCTGGTTATTTCTGCAGCGAAATATGATCTCGTCTTAATGATTCCATTCTTGATGCTTTACTTTTCTTAAGGGGGAAATATAACCTTAAATGGCTTAGCAAGATCCTCCGTTATGACGAAAATATTGCAGCATTAGTTTTGAAATAAATATATGGTAAAGTTGAGGATTAATTTTAAGTACTATGTTAAAAGAAAACATGATTTCGTAAAATTTTCTCGATAGAATAAACAATCCAAAGTTACTTCCAAAATGAACAATAAACCGCTGTTATTCATAAAATACTTTAAATAAGATCATGAAACTTTGCATACTAACTGAACTAACTATAAAGGAGGGCTTATGTTATTTTTTTTAAATTACCATTATTTTCACTGTAAAAAGAAATTACCTAAACTATCAACGTCCTGAAGCTTGGAACCGGGCGGCAGTAAACAAGCTTTAGGACGCCCATAGTTTAGGTAATTTCTTTTTACAGTGAACATATTGGTAATTTAAAAAATACGTATGCAAAGTTTCATGATCTTATTTAAAGTATTTTATAAATAACAGTGGTTTATTGTTCAGTTTGGAGGTAACTTTGGATTTTTTTCTATCGAGAAAATTTTACGGAATCATGTTTTCGTCTAACATAGTACTTAACATTAATCCTCAACTTTACCATATATTTATTTCAAAATTAATGCTGCAATATTTTCGGTATAATGGAGGATCTTGCTAAGCCATTTGAGGTTATATTCCCCCTTAAGATATCATTTTCTTACTAAAAACGTTTAAGGGTCCGCATACAAATTTAATGTGTACCTAACTACATGCTCAGATTCAATCTTTGCAGATAACATATTTAGAAGACAAATCGATGTCTGTAATTGGTTGTAAATTTTAAAGTACTAAAATTAAACAGAACAAAATAAGCGCGAGTTAAAAAAAAAGTTTTATACTAACCTAATTACAGCCTTTTATTTTGTTTCGTTTAAGTTTATTCCGATGAAAACAAATAACAGACATCGATGTTCATTCGTCTTTGCAATATATTTGCAAAGATTGAATTTGACCCGCTGTGTTGTGTCGTTTTTAAATGAGAGTAGAACTAATAATAATGTTAAATATATAAACCTTTCATTAAACTTTTTCTTTAATAAACGTCTGCACTTTCATTGAAGTTTTTAATATGTATTTCCTTATTATTTTTGTAGGTACGTATCTATTTAATAATTGAAAAGATTAATTTATGCAAAGAATAGAAAATCTTACTTTCAAACCAGTTTCACCGAAAACCGGGTTTTTTGTAAGAAATCCGGGAAATAAACCGGGTTTTAATTTGGGCCGGTTTTGCATTCCCTAGTCCTGAACCACCTGCATTCATCGACTGCTTGCGTGTTTTGTATCACTCTATACAGTTTTTTAGTAAATAAATCAACATCAACCAACACTGAACGTTATATTCTTTGTGGTTTCTCTGAATAAGATAGATTACACGAGTTAGAATGTCATCAGCCGACTTCATAGAAAGAGTGAGCGTTAAGATCTCTGATAACTTTATGATGCACTGCTTTATGGTGTATATATGTACCCGTCACTCTGCCACTTCAAGCCGCAAAAAATATTTAGCAAGAGAGTAGGATTTATTAAGATGTACTCCTAAGTAGAAAATAAATGTTTCTTTGCCTTTGAATAAGACTACTACACCGTTACATATTGTAGCTCCATCATCCTCATCTGCAACATTGTCAGCAAGGATGTGTGTATATAACAAGTTATAACGTTCACGGTAACTTGAAGCATAATATCGAGGCTACGATCATGACTACTATTTCAAGACTTGACTAACCACGGGACGATTTGTCGTACCATTTTAATACCAGCAGTTGAAAGCACGTTGGTATCTAACTTACTACTTGCAATAAAGTCAAATTCATATCTTGCTTTCATCATTAATCATTAGTACAGCCCTTCAGAAGTCCACTGCTGAACATAGGCCTCCCACATTGGATGCTACAAAGCACGTTCTATAGCCACAGACATCTAGTAACATCCTGCATGTCTTGCCAAATTGTTATTCCGTCTATACTTAAGTATAAACTTACGTCCAATAGTTGGGTATTGATCTCTTGTGTCCTCTCATTTTTTGAGAGTGCGACTACTTCGCCGCTCCGCTTCAATGCGTGCTGGCTGTGTAGTCTACAAGCACTCAAAATATTTTATTACTCCGACTTGCATATTTCTTTACAATGTTTGCCTTCACCGCCAAGATCCGTAAATTATCACTTGAAATTGTAATGAATAACATCAGTGGTAGCGGCATAAGTCAAACTCAGGTTCTTCGAGTACTGTGTAAAATTAGGGGAACGTTTAGCCCCTAAGCTAAAAAAGAGCTACCAGGGCACTGATTAAAAAATCATTAATTACAGCTTATCATTCTATTCTTTTTTTTTTTTTTATCACTCTATTCTATAAATTGCCTCATCAATATTCTCATCAGTATTTTAAAACTCGAGTTAAACTTTATTGTAAGTCGTAAATAAGTCAATGTGCAAATTATTATCCCAAGAATTGTGCATGATCTATTAGCAGAATATTTGCCTTAAATCGCCCTCATAGTTTAAATTTTCACTTCCGGGTTAAAAGTTACTATCAATAAAACACGGAATCGGATTGGTAAACTGAAGATACAGTGGACCGGCCAGTAAGCCTCAAGAACCGATAACCTTTGGAGTGACAGCCTCGTACTGGTAAGCTGAGTACAGGGCGGTCTCTACTTTTCATGTTTAAAGTTTTCTCAACTTTGATTATGATACGTAAAAGTAAAAAAAAGTAAAGTTACAGTCTATATACGTCCCACTGCTGGGCACAGGCCTCCCCTCAATTCTGAGGGTTTTTGGGCAAGGAAGTGTCCGCCGCGCTGCTCCAATGCGTGTTGGCGAACATGTCTTGTTTTTTTCTTATTCCTCAGAGATGCAGGTTTCCTCACGATGTTTTCCTTCACCGCCGAGCACGTGGTATTATGATACGTGGAGTACTCTAAACCGATGATATCTATACGAACCTTAAAAAGTAGTCGTGCACGAAATCTTGATTCTCATCTAGCCAGGCTTCAGTGCGGGCACACTCGGCGTCGTAGCAGGCCGGCGCGGGCATGCCACCGCCCGCGCCAACCGACGGCTCCTCTATACTCCGCAACTGTAGGCCTACGACAACAGAGAAGTCGTTTTAAATAACATCTTAATATGTATAAATTACGTGTCACGTTGTTTGTCCGCGATGGACTCCTAAACTACTTAACCGATTTTAATTAAATTTGCACACCGTGTGCAGTTTGGTCCAACTTGAGAGATATAGTTTTTTTTGCCCATGAGTGACCACATTTTTTTTTTGTGAATTTATGGATTTTTATAACAGCCGTCGAAAAGGGCAGAACAACGTCTGCCTGCCAAGCTAGTTTACTGTACTGTTTAGCACATACATTCGAACCGTAGTATAATTAATAAAAAAAGTTATATTCAGTCCACCTACCCGAAGGTAAGTGGATACAGTAACCCATAGATCTATCCTCGATTAAATGCAGATGCATTGTCACTCATCAGGATGGAAAGCCTTGTTATCAGTAATATTAGTAAAATGTGTCTCCGGTCAAATGACTGTGATATACGAAATCAGTATTAGACTGCTTAAGCTTGTATTCTGATTACAATTATTCTAAACTTAACTACTTATTACTTGCAGAGTAACAAAGCGATAAATCACATTTATTATTTTTCTTGAAGATGGATAGCGACATTTTAAACAAAATATGAAAAACCTTTCGAAGCGAAATCCTAATACAGCTCAGATGCGAACACTTATTTAGTTAACTTATTTAATGATTTCTTAAATTGACGCGGACACTATACATTGAATAAAACTATTTATACGGATTGTATCGCGTTTAATTAACTTATTTTTAATTCCCAACGTTTCGGGTGCTTTACAGCATACCTGGTTACGGGGGGGGGGAGTTGACTGAGATATTGAACGTCCCAATGTCAAGCTCGAGCTACGTAGATCAATAGATACATAATAGATGATATTCAAAAACGGAAGGTAGCCGGTAACTATGACATTGGGACGTCAAACATCTCAGTCCCTACAGTGACCATGGATGCTGTGAAGCACCCGAAACGTCAGGAATTAAAAATAACTTATTTAGTTTAGAGTTTTATATGGACACGAGATTCTCCCGTTATGCGATCTATTTGCAGTTATCGCCGTGTCTTACAACGTTGACGCTACGCTACCCTCCCTCCTCTCTGTCGGGACATTTGGCGTAAACGAGATGGTTTTATCACCAGCCAACGAAAGCCATGAGATTTTTCTGTTCCGTCAAAAAAGGGTGATGGATTCTCCTATCTTGCCTCTAAACAGCTTTCTTTAATTAACTAATGCGAATATTATCCTGTTAGGCAATCTATGGGGGAGCCCCATGTTTGAGGCCATCATCATCATCATCATCATTACAGCCCTTCACAAGTCCACTGCTGAACATAGGCCTCCCCCAAGCAACGTCACAAAGCAAGGTGACTTTAATAGTCTGTTATGATGATAATGATGATGAGTGACGTCATTTCAGGACACAGACTCAACATTGCCAAATTTCTTTAATCTGAGTGATTCTATACAGGGTTATTTTTCAAAGAGTAGCTAAGTTTTAAACTTCAGTTCAAATATATAAATAATGATATACTGTTTTTGCAGTTTTTGAAAATACGAGTAAATAAGGTTTCTACTTTTATTGAAAATTATCCTAAATTGAATGTGATTTATGGGTAACAGAGTTTTAGCATTCGCATTTCGCATTAGCATAGCATTTAGTATTCGTAAGGACGAATGAGTACGCACGCAGTAAAATCAGTTAAAATAATGCGTTACCACGCATTTTGAATTTAAAAGATAAAAAAGTCGGAAAGTTTAAGATTTCTTTTGATTAATCTTTCTTGACTATTCGCCTATATTACTTATTCTGAATTTTCTCTGCAAATTTGGTAGGTTATTGCAAAATAGTCCCATATAATTACTAGCTGAACTCGGCAGACCTTGTCCTGTCAGTTAATATCAAAGATTTAGTTTAGCAAACGTTTCTGATTAATTTTAGCGTGTGCAATTTATTATATATTTTTAGTTTATAAATATTAACCTTCTCCATTGAAAACTAAATACACACAAACATATGTATATATAGCAATATTTACAAACATCCTCTTTTATATATACATATTAACATGCCTGGTACAGTTTTGTCCCACCAGCCACAGCAGCCGAGCATCGTAAGCCAGTTGAACGATAAGTATTATTATTATCTAATGTGAATTGTCTACCACGTTGTAACCATTCACAATCTATATTTTAAACGAAAATAATGCATAAATAAAGCAAATGTTAAAACAATTCACCTTGACACTGACGTCAATTTCCATAATGTAATATGTAATCTTTTTTGTGGGTTGTGACCAGTGTCGAATATTTGATTTAATCAAACACTGGCCACATCTATTTATTTAACATTTAAAATTAAAGTTATCATTTTTAGAACTTTTGAAACAAGGTTAAAAATTCGATGGTTACAAGTGGCTTAGGACAGAGCTTTGTGGCATTCATTGTGGGAAGCCTATATTCAGCAGAAAGAGCTGTAATGATAAAGATCCTTATAAACTGTATAGTTTGTATAAACATAAAGTCAAAGATAGTGCCGTAAATCCACCGTTGCATAACTATTAGCACAAATGCTATCATGATGAGTCATTCTACAATCAGCATAAATGATAAGCTGTTCGGTTCTACAAACACTAGTAAATGTACATCTACGAGTATAACTGCACGCTTGCATTGTGCATCCAATTGGTTGCAATTTATTCGAATGTGCACGCTTTAGTAACCAAAATAAAATATTCTAAATAAAGAGCATGGAGTGGGGTGTAAGATAATCCAGTACGTATCGTTCCGTGGAAACAGGATATCCTACCTGATAACAAATAAAAATTATAAAAACCGTGGTAGTTAACCCAAGACATGGCAACTATGGCATGACCCCTCTATGTGGAAATTTACGGGGGTGGTCTATGTTTACAGTATATATGGGCTGTAATGGATGGATAATGGAAATAAAGAGCTCTTTCATGAGAACATTAAGAAGCGCTGTGTTGAATTATTTTATTTTAATGCTAATAAAATCCATCTATCTACGAAAATGGGCCAAAATCTACAAAAAATTTGAAATTTAACGAGAAATACATACACATAAAAAGATATAGAAAAAGTTGTGAAAATACCTCGTAAGAATCATTCATAATACAATGTAACGAACCGGTCTTGAAAATGTCAATGACACAAAATAACTACTATCTACTTCCGTTTCATGCCACGTAATTCAGGTGTTGCTATAAGTATATATTCCCTTAAGGTTAAATTTATTTCCCTGAGCTTAATAGGAATACCAATTTGATAAGGACGTGAACAGTATAACAAAAGGCTTCTAGTAGTCCCTGTAAATTAAATTATTTTAATTCAGCCACTCACTGCCAATTCACTGAATAAGCGACAGTAACCTTATGATTAAGGATACCGACTAAAAAGAGTCATGGGTTCGAATCTGTTATTCGACTTGAACCAATATTTTCACTGCAATTACGATGTTTTTCCTATCCGCCGAACACGTGATAAATTAGCACTTAGAATTACAACTGATTGTTGTAGTATTGAAACGTTGTTATTTTCAATACTACAACAATCAAGTTTGTGAAAATCGAAATCGCGTTGCTGGCCCCTGAACTAGAACGCCTTATTTTAGACTGCATCATTATCATCATTACAGCCACTGCCGAACATAGGCATCCCCAAAGGAACGCCTCAAAGCACGGTCCTAAGCCACCTGCATCCATCGACTTCCTGCATGCCTTACCAGGTCGTCAATCCGTCTAGTAAGGGGACGCCCTACAATTCGCCTGCTGGTATGAGGCTGCCACTCTAGAACCTTTGTTCCCCATCGATAGTCGGTTCTTTGAGCTATTATGACGGCCCATCATTATCATTCATCATTCATTCATCATTACAGCCCTTCACAAGTCCACTGCTGAACATAGGCCTCCCCCAAGTAATGCCACAAAGCACGGTCCTGAGCCACCTGCATCCATCGACTTCCTGCGTATCTTACCAGGTCGTCACTCCATCTAATGGGGGGTCGCCCTAAACTACGCCTACCGGTACGAGGCTGCCACTCGAGAACCTTTCTTCCCCATCGGTTATCGGTTCTTTTTGGCCGGTGCATCGACTTTGAGCTATATGGCCGGCCCATTGCTACTTCAGCTAACTAATCTGTTTGGATATGCTGGTTACTCTAGTTCTACTGCGGATATCATCGTTTTTAAGTATCACGCAGGGAAACCCCAAGCATAGCCCTCTCCATAGCTCGCTGAGCAACCTTGAGCTTCCTCTTACGGCCAGCAGTGTAGGACCACGTCTCAGATTATGGATCTTAGGCATCACTAGCAACACGCACTAGCTGTACAATCTTGTTTTTAAGTTTTGAGGTATCTCTGACAAGAAGAGCGAGAGCCAGACGAGTTCAATCCTTGGATTGACCTCTCAGTTGAAGTTGGACTTACCTAGTCTGACTATTTGTCCCAAGCAAATTTTTTTTACTTTAGTTTTGTCCATGTTCATCTGAAGACCTATCCGTGGGGAGACACTACTGAGGTCATTAAGCATAGTGGTTAGGTCCTCCAGCGATTTTGCCATAAAGACTACATGGTCGGCAAATCGAAGGTGAGTGATGTACTCGGCTTTGAGATTAATACCGTATTCTTTCCAGTCCAGTAGCTTGTTAACGTCTTCCCATGCAGCGGAGAAGGTTTCGGTGATATTACGTCACCGTGTCTCTCTGCAGTTGTATAGGTTTCGTACTCTGGTTCTGTACTCGGATAGTCATCGTAGTCCTACAGTACAAGCACTTCAGCACTTTGATATACCGATTCAACTTGGCATCGCTGAAGGGACTGAGCACCACGAGCACCACCCAAATTTCGAAGAAATTAAAGGCTTTCTCATAGTTCACATAGGCACGGCAAAGTGGCAGATTGTACTACTCGGTTTTCTGTACAATTTGACGAAGGGTATGTTTGTGGTCTATGGTACTAAAGCATTTTCGTAAACCAACTTGTTCGGAAGGCTGGAAGTCGTCTAGTCTGCGTGCGAGACGATTCGTAATGATTAGACTGCATGCTTGTCTTCAAAATTCAGCATAGTAAACCGATACCCTCCAGCAAATCCATTAGCAGGTGAAGTTCGAGGCCGCGGAGGAAGGCGCGCCATGTGTTCTGGTGCATCTTACCTGTGAAGAAGATGGGGGAGGAGAAGTCCTCTCCCGACGAGTGGCCGCTATGCAGCGACTGGCGCTGTGGAGGTCGCGGATTTGTGCAAGAGTTCCCGTGGCCCTGCTAATATGCGGTGAAGGTGGAACACCATGGGGTTTTAGTCTGTGCGAATCTGACAAAACCCGTCCTCGCCCGTGCGAGGTAAGTATCTGTAGGCATTTTCCCACGTAAAGTAAAAAAGGTGTCCAAGGATTGCAGATTCAGGTGGACTGTAAATTCGTCTGTCATTTCAGTCAAACATAAAAAAATATCAGAGAACTTCAAAACATTTTGAGAACAAGTTCGCCAAACCCGCGGAAGAACCGTTAACTTAACGACCTTTTAGACATGAGTATGTAATAGAATGAATATTAATTTTAACTACTATTAATTATTA